ACACACACCAACACACACCTACCAACACACACACAGCAACACACACACCAACACACACATACACACACCAACACACACCTACCAACACACACACACCAACACACACATACACACACCATTTAGTTTTTCAGCTTTGGGAAAGATAGAAGCCACTGTAGGCAATGCAATCACAGTGTGCAGTGTATCGTGATAGGTGTGTGTGTGTGTGTACCCAACACAGAGCCTCAAGGTTAACTGGCAGAATCTTCCAGAAGAAAGGACTCCTTCACTTAGTTCTGCACGGAGTGGTGGCTCATGAGTAAATAGCGTGGTAACATAATTCTGGAAAAAATGCACCAAGGAGAAACAATAGTGCTCCACAAAGGTCAGATGGACGGACGTGCCACGCCAACATCCATCAGGGAAGTCTCCCAAAGAAAGCACCTGCCTGGGGTGAAGCTGCAGGGCTGAGCCTGGCCTCCCGACGGGCCACCAGAACTTTAGTACGAGCAGCACCTGAGGACCAGGCCTGGGTGATGGATGCAGAATCAAAATGAGCGCCTGCTCCTGGGAGAAACCATAGCAAGCAGGTGGAGTAGAGATTCACAAACCATTAGCTGTGGCGCCAGGCAGGTGTGGGCTGCATCAAAGTGAGGTGGGGTCAGAACCCCTGGAGGCGGAGCTCTGCTGGAAAGCTATTGTTTTTGCCTGGGGGTTGGCAGTGGGGCTGTGTAGGTTGTGGCAAGGGAAGTTCCTGGGTGTGTGTGGGGGGGGAAAGCTTTGGAAATGGAAGTTTCCTCCATTCCTTCCTCATCTTGGGGGAGATTTGCTGAGTCCTTGGAGCGAAATCTCAGGGGAAGGCTTTCAGATGAAATCTCCCACATCCGAAGTACAGATGAATAGCTGTGGGCTTGAACATTAGACACAGCAGATTCTTTCCTCCTCTGCCACCAACACAGCTTTTCTCCTTCAGCTCCATGACTCCAAAGGCCAGGAGAGACCCAGGCACCTAGCTGATAGGATGGGAAAGATCAGAAGTCTGGAGAGTGTTTTAAGGATTGGGTTGAATAGGAATGTGTCTGTGAATGGGTCAAAATGGGTCAGGAGTCCACAGTGGTGAGATCACAAGGTCATTCAATGCCACAAATTCTACTCTGCCCGTTTTTTTGTTTTGTTTTGGACAGTGCTAGGACT